TGTCCAGGCCTAAGGCTCATTCCAAATGCACGTGCTTCTCTTAGTTAATACCCGTATGAAAGTCAAATGTCACCACAGGCCAGAGATGCTTATAGGCAATCATCATAAATGGGTTTATTCTAACAAGTCTGTATCTCGCATCCAAATTTTAAAAAAGGGGACAAAAAGATTGCTGTTGAGAAAAGCATTTAGTGAAAAACACAAAATGTATTACTGCAATCAACTTTGCAATAAACCTCTAACTAGCTTCAATTGACTGTTTGGCTTCAGCAGTGACTCAAGCCATGAAATCAGCTGATGTAATGCAGTTGAAATATATTCACGGCTGTTTGTTTATTTGTTCATAACCAACAAACAATGTGTTAGCTTTTATTTTTCTTTAAAAATAGTATGTTGAATATAGGGTTGAGGTTGAAAGTGGGTATTCCATGGAATGCTCTTAACATCCCGATAGCAATGAATAAATTAAATGCTTTGACAATAAATATATACAAATATGTCATCTGTGGAAGCCGTAGCGCTGTAAAAAGCACGACCAATTATCTGCCTCGGCCCGGCTAAAATAACTGGATGGCCTACCTGCCTGTCAGCCTTCCATCTGTGCACAAACTTATCTCGTGCCCTCATTGGTCATGTGCGCGTTCGTGTGTGTTGGAGGAGTGGCTCTGTAAGGAAGGGGCAGATCTTTTTCGGTTCGCACTCGAGCTGGTTTCTCCATTCGTACCTACCCTACCTTTAAGCTTACTTAAAGGGCCCATGTCATGGCCATTTCCACTGATCATAATTACATTGTTGAGGTATACTAAAATAGATTTATACTGTGCAATTTTCCAAACTCACATTGGTTTCGCATACAGCATCTCTGTCAAGCATGTGTATTCAGCAGTATTCACTCTCTCCACTAAACGACTCGTTGGAGCTCTTGCCCCCCCCTCCCTGTGAGCCTAGTGTGCTCCGATTGCTCAGCTCGGCCACTCTGTTCTGATTAGTCAACCACCAGAGAGGCTCCGCCCGCTTTTTTCGGGGAACATCAGTGTAATAATGGCGTCGGTACAGCTGATATTTTATACTAACTAACCGAACTGAACCTACAACTGTTGTTATAGAAGAGTGTGACGGCCCCAGGGCCTTTGTGCAGGTGTGTTGCAGGGCTTACGGTGGGGTGGAGCTGAAGAGGGTAATCAGCGCGATCACGGACACCTCCGTAGCCGGTGCTATTAATCCCAGCGGCCCGGAGTCTCTCCAAAGCGGCTGCAGAAGGACGAACTCAGCGCTCCTCTCCCCTCGACCACCTATCTCTGCATTTCCCACATAAATGTGCCGTGGTTTTGTAAACTCGTGTATGTCTCCTTGCCTTTCCGTTGTGGCCTACGAGCCGGTCATAACAAAGAGTAAGTTATTTTTACCTGTAATAAACTACTACTGTTTGATGAGAAATCAAATCATGGTTTGCTATATATGAATGATATGTTATAGGGGCAAATAATTCAGGGAAGAAAGGATAGGCCTACTAAGTATTTCCATTAAACTTTATTTTTAGAAATGTACAAAATGAACATAAATATACATATATACACACGGTATATCATCCATTCCTCCTCGCATCTTGCCTGCGCACAGCCGTTGCGGTGCCTTTTAGCACGAGGCCTCAGTAGTAGTAGTAGTAGAAGTCCCGTCCCCGTCATGGATTGTCCGCCAGGATCTGGCTGGACGAAATCAAATGCAAATCACAAAATATTAGAGAAACTTAGTTGTTTTAGATTCGTTAGTAGTAGTTGTGGTAGGAGTGTGGATCTATCTAATGAACAGCTTGCCTGCTAATATGCTAACCTAGCTTTGTTTACCTTGGTAGCTAACACGATATGAACGTTAGCTTGGAGGAACGGCAACTATAATGGAGTGTAATAAAACTACTATGAACAAAAGCTAGTGGTTCATATTAGGCTAGCAATAACGTGTTTATAATTGCAATCGTATACGGGTATTCTGCTACGTTCGGTCATACATTGTAATTTGCATGAATACATTGTTTTGCGCTAGCATACAGCTAGCCTCGTTAGCTATACATGCAGTATATGTACTGTCACAATGTACGGTAAATCACCCGGAGTATACTGTATGAGTATTCCGTGTGTGTGACTGCAGACATTCTCCTGCCATGACAAACATGTAAGGCCATCTGCTGACATTGTAGTTGATATATTTAAACGCTAGCAACGTAGCATCACAAAAATGTTTTTCCGACCAAACCTAGCTCTAGCTCCGTGTGTTAGATCGGTTGCATACACTCTACGCCAGCTATAATGTAATTACGTTTCGCGACTGACCGCACGGCAAATCACCCGGAGTATACTGTCAATAGGTATTTTGTGTGTGAATGCAGACATTCTCCTGCTATGAGATACATGTATGCAAGGCCATCTGCTGATATTAGAGTTGATATATGGAAACTCTAGCAACTTAGTTAGCACAGTTAGCACTGTGTCAATGGCTTAGCAGTCCAACACAGTTTACACATTTAAACAGTCTTGTTTGATAAATACACAAATAACAATGCAAACTTACAGGTTGTGTACCCGGATCTTCCCCTGCTCCAAACGGTCCAAACAAGCTGTGCATATCCGGCCTCAAACTGGGCAATGTTTTGGAAGCTTTCGTCTGTGAAATGCCGGTTCTTCGAACCTCTGGAGGAACACGCCGCTGCTGGTGTGGCCATAGCTCTTCGGGATTGGTCCATTTCGTTCCGGGTACCGCATGACATCAGGCGGTACCCGGAAGAATCAAATGGGCAGTGACGTATCTCCAACGAGGCGTTTTGGGGAGGTATTTTCTGTGTTAGAGTTTTACTCGCTCCAGGGTGTACTTTGAGGGTTTTGACTCTGCACACCGTTTACATGCATAAAAACCTTCATAACACACAAGGGGACGGGTAATAACCGGAAAAGCATGACATGGGAGCTTTAACACGTTACAAGACCAATTAAAAGTTTAACTCTATTGGCAAACAGTGCTTTATCAACACATCCAGCAAATATTTTAGCAACATTAATAATGGGAGTTATCTTTAAGCATTGTAATATCTGGCAGTTTTCTATTAACATACATCCGGGACACTGGGGTAAGTCTTCACTCTCTTAAAGATAAGCTAAGCTAACTGTGGATGTTTGACACGTTTACAAAAGGTAGTTTTAAAACACTTACCGGTGGTTCAATTGGAAACGTGCGAGACTCTTCTAATCAGTTGGGTGTAAAGAAATCCTGTTTCAAGTATTATTGTATAAAAAATGTCCAACTTGAGATTCTGTTTACTATCCAGGTAGTTTTTATTTATACATCCATGAGGTAGCTGGCAGGTGGACGCCGCCATCTTTGTTTTGATTTGGGACTTGAGTTGCAACTTTTGGCAGCAAGGGAAACAGGTAAATAATCGTAATCACTCAGCGGACGGAATTTATTTTCTTACAGGTGAATAAACGATAATTGTATCCGGATAATTATGCACTTAGACATATTAACAGTTGTGTTAAGTAACTAGTGATGGCGAGATGAAGCCTTATGAAGCTTTGAAGCTTTCCAGCCAATTGGTTCGCTCAAGGGTTCATCTCGTGAGGCTTCATTTGAGCACAAACCCCCCTGTTGGTCAAAGTGTGTAAAACAGGCAGATATGACATCTCAACAGTGTGCTCTTTCTTATACTGAGTTCCCAATGAGTAAAGCCTTAGAATAACTCTAAACAATTAACAGGAAATCATATTTTCATGTAATCAAGTTGTATCAAATATTATATTTTAAATAAAAATGGGTAACAATAAAAATATCCCCAAAAAATGTCTAATAAATAAAATATTAATACAAATGTAATAAATAATATTAAATAAAAACATTAAATAAAAAATGATACAAATAAAGCATTTCAAACATCAATACAAGACGTAGGTGTGGTTGTGCCTGGGTAAAATAATGTTAGCAATCACAAACCTCCGAAGGACGCTCCACCACCTCCGAAAGATTTAGTAAATACAGATCTAAGCAGCAGACCATAAATCCCGAGTATGGCAGTATGTTTCAAATGTGTAACCATCCATCAACACTGTATTTTTGGTGGGAATGTGTGTTGGAGAAATGTCTTGTATAAAAAAATAAAGAATTCAATAATTACACAAAACAAAGAAATAATATAAAAAAAGAACAATAAACAATGACTTTTACTACAAGATCTGAATACTTCTTCCACCTCTAGATCTTAAGACTGATGGTTATAAGTCTTAAGATGAATCTTAATCAGATACTAAATTATGCTAAGTGAAGTATGCTAAACTAACAGACAATGTGAATAAACACACCCGATCCTCCTATAAATGAAGTGCTTTTAAATGCACCTGTCATGTAGTACTTCTCAGCCCATTGCCTACTGTGAATCTGTATGGAGCTTTCCAAAGTCTAAGAAAAAATGTGTTATGATGCACTGAAACAGAACACAGCCTTGTTGAGTTGAGTTGAGTTGAGTTGGATTGAAGCCCCTTTCTAACAGTTACACAACACAATTTAAAAAATGAAACATGCTTTATTAAATCAAAAATCTTACAGCTAAAGACATCTGAAATTTGTTATGAATTAAGGAATTTTGTTTGCACAGAATAATCAGATCTCAAATGCCACACAGTATGTGCCTGTTTGATGCCTGAAACATGCATTGCACACAGATAAAGAACCCAGACAGCGATAAAATCAAATATACCTATCAGAATAATCTGGTTTACTTGGCATAATAGTATCTGATGTATTGCATTATATTCAATAAGAAAATGATCACCTTTAATACTTGTAACAACACTTTATACAGTTATGTAAAGTCAGGAGCACTGAATCAGTAACCCAAAACGTTTGTAGTTGCTGCTACTGTTATTTTGACATTAACTAATAAGAGGCACAACTCTCTTCAACCACCACACATACAGTATGTAGGTCCATTGACACCGTTTTTTGTCTACTTTTTCGTTCTATAGTATGGGACAGTATTCGCCACATCTCATTCGTAGTCTGTCAAGGGAGTCCTGTGCCTGCAATACATTCCCTCCTCCACTAGAGGTCGGTCTTGCCATTGTCCCAGCCGAGGACTCTCCCTCAGGATGGACTTTTCTGTCTGGATATTTAAACTCAACTGATGCAAATGAAGAAAGACTACCATTTTTTCTGGTCCAGGTTCTGGAAGTGTCAATTGTAGGTGATACCCTGAAGCCTCTCCCTTTGTCACTGCTTGCATCTTTCCCCCTACTTTGTTCACTGAAATCCTCCAAAAAGGGGTCAGAATCGCTTCCATGTGGCATGTTGTAGTAGGTGCACTTTGGAGTTAGAGGCTTCGCCATCTCCTCGAGCTCTGATGAGGAAATGGCTGCAAGAAGGTCTTGCTGGGACGGGACATCCGCGCAATTGTTTTCGTCACCTGTGTCGATAGACGTGCTATCTAACTCACCGTACATTCCCAGCAAGACTGGAGGAGATTTTCGGATGAGGTGATTCTCTTTGAGCAGCCATCTACCTTGGTCGATCAAAACCCCTTCAGGTGAGTCCTTCTGCGGCGTTGAAGACATGCACTCTGCGGCATTATCAGCGTCGACCTTTTGTGAGCTTCCAGCACTGAAATACGACAGGTCCTCCTTTGAGATTTTACTGCCTGAGATATCAGAGGATGAACTTCCCACACTTTTTATTTGAGAATTCGGCGAAACTTCTATATTACTGTGAACAGAAAGGTCGGAGTTGGCTCCCTTGACATGTGTTCTCCCCTCAGGGGTGCAGCCTGGAGAAACCTCTTCTCCGCTCTCTGTGACAATATCTACCGAATCTTGAGTTTTATATCCACCACTCTCCGACGATTCTGGCCTGTAATCGGACAAATCTGAGGTGGTGGGGGATGGCAGACGCTTTAAGCCATATGAAGGATCCTTGTTATATATTGGGACAACAGTTTTAGTTTGTGTTACTCTAGCATTATCTGGCTCGATCCTGATTTTCCCCAGAGTGTCGTACGTGAATTTAAGTGAAGAGCACTTCAGGGCGTTGTTAACAAAGTCAAGCAATTCCTGTGATATCTCCACTGGGTGTTCCTGAGGCTCCCCTCCCTCGTCGGTTTCAAGTTCATGAACAGTGTCTGTCCCATTACCTTTATCATCCTCACACCGGCCCTCAGAGGAATGTTTGGTTGATGATTCAGTGTTAGCTTCTGTTACCTTTGAATCTGCATGTGCTTCATCACAGCTGCTCTGCGACAGCAAATACGAGGCCTCCTCTAGCAGGTTTTTACAATCTCTGTCCACAGCAATAATGTCTGCTTCATCAGTAGCATTTTCCTCCAGCACCTCAACCCCCTCATGTACCGCATTACTATCATCTTCTTCATCATCTTCCCTCTCCTCTTCATCGAGCATTTGCTCTGTTCTTATATGTTCTTCAATCTCCTCCACAACGTCTTTCTCTTCCTCGGATTCTTCCTCGAGACTAGTTTCTTTTAACTCGTTCATGCTCTCCTCACCCTCGTCACATGTTTCTTCCTCACCATCCTCCACCGTCTGTTGAGATCTATCTTTCCCCCCCTCATCTTCCTCCTCATTGTTTTCCTCGCTTACCACTTCGATGTGGTCTTCTTCCTTTTCCCTAAAAACATCATCACATCCCTCCTCCCCCTCCCCCTCCTGTATAACCCCCTCCTCTACATCTTCCACAGTAACTGAGTCTGTTGCTTCTTCCTCTTCCTCCTCTTCCTCCCCCTCCTCCTGTATAACCCCCTCCTCTACATCTTCTACAGTAACTGAGTCTGTTGCTTCTTCTTCTTCCTCCTCTTCCTCCTCTTCCTCCTCCTCCCCCCCCTCCTGTATAACCCCCTCCTCTACATCTTCCACAGTAACTGAGTCTGTTGCTTCTTCTTCTTCCTCCTCTTCCTCCATCTCTTCAAATCTATGTTCTGCTTCCTCTCCTTTATCCGACTCCTCAATAACCCCATCTGCCTCTTCTTCAATCTCTTCCCCTTGCCTCTCTTCAGTTATCCATTCCTCCCCCCTCTCTTCCTCATCAACCCCCTCCTCCTCCTCCCCCTCTTCCTCTGTCTCCCCTTCACCCTCTCTCTCATCTGTTTCCTCAACAGTATCATCCTCTCTTGTTTCTTGAATGTCTTCTAATGTCTCCTCCTCTTCCTCCTCGTCCACTGTCATATGGTTCTCTGTCCCTTCCTCAACTTCCTCCTCTTCCTCTGAACACCCTTTTCTCACTTCTGATTCTTTCTCCTCTTCATCACCCACTACTGTCACTGCCCCCACTTCTGCCTCGTCCCTTTCTCCCTTTTCAGTGTCTTCACTGTCATTCGTGAGCTCCCTCTCCACCTCTACTTCTTCCTCTTCCTCCTTTCCTTCATCTGTGAAGTGCTCATCTGTCTGTGATATTTCTGAATCTTGATCAGGTTCTTTCTCTGACTTGGTTCTCACCTTGGCATGTTCAGAATAAAACAGTGATTGCAAGGTACCTATCTTTGCAACATCATGACCCTGTTTTCTCTGAGAACTGTCCTCAGCTATGGAGTTAGTATCAGGCTCTGGTGATTCTTGTGTTACTTCGTTGCATTCTTGAACAAATTGTTCAACATCCTCCTCAGAGTCTGACTGTTTTCTTTCAGTTTCTACAAAGGTGCTCTCCTCTACAGGGTAAAAACGTTTAGTTTGGTGGATTGTTGAAGAAATCTCTGCTCTGAGGTCTTGTGGCATATTCAACTCATCCATTAGCTCTTCAATATCTTCGAACGCATCCCCTCCTTCAGAAGAAAGATCCAGCGCAAATTCTGTCTCTGAAGCTTTGACAGATATTGGTTCACTTTCTAGTCTTTCTCTCATAATCTGGAAATCCTTCCAGCGTTCTCTGAAGGTAGAAGATGTTCTGCTGTGCAGATCCGTCAAACTTGCCCTCAGCCCTCCCTCGTCCTCGGTAGCGGAAATTCTTTGCAGTGACTCCAACATCAGCAAGGCCTCCGAGGTGCTCGATTGGTTGCCATCTCTCGGCGCTGATGTTTTTTGGTTGTCTCGTAGAGTCATCACTGATAAGAATGATACAAAGGCTTTACATGACGAGCCAAACACTCCAGCCACTTGTTTTGAGAAATCAGGAAGACTGCTGGACCTTTCTAGGTTGGATGTTACGTTGGTTTCAGATGCACTTTTGAGGCAGTGAATCGAAGAGTAAAGTTCCCGCAGGAGAGGTACTATGTTTGCCTTTGTGTCCAAACCCTCGGGTGTCGATGAATGTGATTCATTGTCAACTGTTCCGAGGATTGCTGCAGATTTGTTTGGTCTCAATCTGTTCTCGTTGGACACAAGATCCACTCTAACACTGGGCATTGAAGCACACAGCCCTCTTAGAGGTTTTTCATTGTGCCGCTGAGCTGTAGCTTCATTCAAATATGGTACTGATAGACAAGAAACTGATTTCTCGATGTCATCACTTGGCGACCCATCTGGATTTGCCTGGCATTCATTCTTTTCATCGGAATCAGAATCATCGCCGATCTGAAACACGACCTTTGTCCGAGGCTCTGTGAGTTCCTCCTCAGTGTATGGCACAGGGTCTGGGCTGACTTTCTCTAACCAGTTCTCAACATATTGGTGGATTTCAGTGGGTGAAGGACTGACAGTAGGTACTGAAAAACTCTCATTTACCACTAAAGACTTTTTAGATGATGGAAAGTTTTTTTCATTCATGGATTTTGCCTTGCTTATTGTCTTTCGGACTGGCACCAGTGCTTTCTTTGGTTGAAAAATGTCTGAGATGTTCTTCTTCATTTGAGGCCTCACAGTTGGAGTATCTACATTATGGCCATTAAATTTAGCAGCTGTTTTACTTGTGTTTTGTCTCTTAGACGGGGTCTTTCTCACATTTTCATTGTCAAATAATGAAGCTTGCTCTTTCCCAGGCTTTGTTTCACCCTTACCCACTTTCTTAATTTGAGGCTTTTCTGTTCCTTTACTCTTTTGTCCACTTTTAGCACTTTCAGATGAACTCAGAGTATTTCTGACCACACTTGTATTGCTGCTCTGCTTGTCTGTAGATGAATGTTTGCTATCTTTTGGGGGGCTAACTATGCTTTCTTTTTGCTTTTTGTCCGAACCACTTGTTGAAGTGGAACTCTTCGGATTCTGAGCAGTTTTACTTGTCTTTTTCTTTGTCTCTCTTTTAGGAGTACTGCCTTTTTTTGCTCTTTCCTGTATTTGGGAGTTTGTTGCAGTAATCTCACTTCTTGAAGTTATTGGCTCTGAAGACAATGATAACATCTCCTCTTTCTGTCTTTGTAGTGAGTTAGAGGTGTGTGGCTGCCCGCTAAAATCAATATCACAATCATTGCTGGATGACGGTTTGCTTTCTGCCTCTGGAGGAGAGCCATGCAAAGGCCCGCCGTCTGTGCTATATTCGTCATTTGCAAAATAGTTGTCGTAGCAGGGTTGACTCTCATAAATATGCATCACAGTCTCTGTGACCTCCATCCCGTTACTCTGTATCTGAAGCACCTCGGCTACTCCTGACGAACTGATGGAGGAGGGCGAGCCTTTGCTGCTTGCTTCTGAAGACTTTGTTTGCCTAGGTCTTGGAATTAGCCTGTTGCTGCTGCTGCTGCTGTGTTTTAAAACGCAGTATTCCTCAGTCGTCTCACCATCAGCTGTCCTCTCTATGTAGGAATAATGTCCCATGGTGTTTTCCTGAACTCCCGATTCTGTCACCGTCTTTACACTCTCAAGAGACGCTCTCTTCGTAACGCGCAGAGGACCTGGTGTAAGAGTTCGTTTGACACCAGTTTTTCTAAAAGCCGTAGAATTGTAGCCTTCACATGCTTGCTCAGCATTAAAGCCAACTCCCTTTCCAATCTTAGAAGTATGGTTCTTCTCTTTTGATTCATCTTCACTGACGCTAGAGGACTCTTTGGCAACGGTGTTGTTTGAGTCAGGTGAGCTGTTGCCCGGCTCAGATACCGAGGCACTAACTGTCCCATTCCTAAGGCTTGAGCGGCTGAGCGTTGTAGTCCAGTGGAGCATCTCCTGTTCTTTAATTGTCAGTCGAACTTTCATCTCCACTGTCATGCTGCCGTCTTGATTGACACGGAAAGACTTTTCAATGTCATCATCATGAGGTACAATGCGAGTATGAGAGTCATTATCAGCCATCCCAGCTCCACATTTGTCCTTGGATGTGGGATGATGTTCGACCTCTGTTTCAAATGATCGGTTGTGCTGATTCAAGGGACCGTTTGTGCTTCCATTTATGGACTTGTTTATCTGGTTGACAATATATCTCTCTGATGATAGGGAAAAATTCCTTGAGCCTCTTCCACTCGAGAAAGATTTGTTGTTGTCTTTGGTTGAAGGTGTTTGTGGAAAAAGGGGAGAGATAAAGAGACGTTTTGTTATTTTATATAATAAAAACACCATAGCGTATTCATATTGGTTTGTTAGTAATATTTTAGGAACATTTTTACTTTTTTATTTACTTTTAAGGGGTAAATTATATCTGACATCAGTACAAATAAAACCAACATCTGTCACAATTTACCACAATAAATAAGATTATACATGATTTTTTTCTCAATTTGAACAACTAAAGGACTATCTTATATAGTTAAAGGTTCCCTATTATTATTTAGCAGAATAGGTGACCTTTAAACAGCTTTGATTGGTTTATAAGATTAATGTACATGTTTTAAAGCATAAGAGTGGTGACTTGCAATTACTGTCTAAACTATCCTACCGTATAATAAGCACGGGGACTTTTACATAAAGATTGTAATATGTAAATTGACTGATTACAACTCACCAGTTCCGGGCTGCAACACAGAGGGTTCCACAGGATCCATGTACATTATTTGAGCCATCTGGCCAGCTCCTTGAGAACTGTAGTTTCCTAATCTGAAAGGCTCACTGCCTGCTGCTACAACAACTCCAGAGCACAGAATAAGTCCTGCAAGACCATCAATCTGAAAAAAGAACACAAACACATTTTTAAATGCACTTATTTCATTTCATTTCAAACCTTTATTTATCCAGATTGTCCCTTGAGATCATAGATCTCTTTTTCAAGGGAGACCTGCAGCAATTAGGTTCCACATGAAACATAAAACAATCTTATATATTACACTCCCAGATAGAAACATATTGTTGGAAAACAAACAACATAAAAAGACCATCAAAGACAACGAGGCATTTCTGGAGAAATAGGATGCTTTTAAAGGTTACGGAGACTCATGAGCTTAAACTGGAAAAGGCTTCCTGTTAAAGGACACATCCTGGAAAAAGGGATTACGGAGTGATAACTCACTAGGAGGTAGAGATTCTGATAGCACCTTATAGGACTGCTTAGAATACAGTAATGTTTAAAGATTTAAAGGTTGGAGCCTTGATTCTGTATTCCTGAAATACTACTTATAGTTTACATTTAAGAACATAATATTTAAAGGTGGGGTAGGTAAGTTTGAGAAACCGGCTCGAGATACAATTTTTGTTATATTCCATGGAATGCTCTTAACATCCCGATAGCAATGAATATCTTAAGTGCTTTGGCAAAAAATCCATAAAAAATGTCATCTGTGGAAGCCGTAGTACTGTAAAAAGTATGACCAATCATTTTAGCCGGCCCGGCTAAAATAACTGGATGGCCTACCTGCCTGTCAGACTTCCATCTGTGCACAAACTTATCTCGTGCCCTCATTGGTCATGTGCGCGTTCGTGTGTGTTGGAGGAGGGGCTCTGTAAGGAAGTGGCAGATTTTTTCCGGCTGTGTATTTTCAAATTCTAGCGCACTCGAGCTGGTTTCTCCAAAATTACCTACCCCACCTTTAATGATAATAAATAAGGCGGTTACATGTAAATTAACTGAGTATCACACACTATTTTTGGGGTATTTTATATTTAAAACTGAGATTTTAAAGAACAAACTTCAATATACAGTAAGCTCAGTCAATCTGCTTATAGCTAGACAGACTAAACTATTCTATTTTAGTAACCCAGACATTTACATAATATAGTCTTAAATCTCCTTAAATAGAAAGTACATTCAAGGACAACAGCTGAGGTGCCATGGATTCTCATGGCAAGGTGCTAATTGAAAATAAAAACATAATAGTAGTGATGTAGCTAGCTGAAATCATAAAAAGTTATTGTGTTTTGATTTCAACTGGCAGAAAATGTGTTCACATTAGCAAACAATCTGGTTGAGGTTTCATTCATGAATTTCTACCAATCTCTTTTCCTCCTTTTTGGTTGAGGGAGGTGTAAGTGGACGTCAACAATCCTTGCTAAACCGCAACCACTTTGAGTAATCCAATCAAATCTCAAGGATTTCTTTTAAATCTAGTAACTAAACCTGGAGCCTGTGTTGTCGTTCACTCAGAATAACATCACATTACTGAAGCCAAAGGGGCTCCAACATCAGGTTTACTTGGACTTGATAAAAAAAACATTTAGTTAAATACCAGTATGTGTTTTTTTGCAGAGAGTAGGGTGAGAATATGAATACGAAAAATAAAAAGGGATTCACACAACTGGGACGTGAAACACTTGTTTTTGCCGTTTGTGGATTATTAGGTTATTGAAGTCTCAGCCATGTGCATCACTTTTTTCTGTCCCCTGGAAACTAAAGTGTTTTTTCTCAAATGTGTACATGTGTAGTTAAATTGATGTTTTTGTGTGTTGTTAAATTGGTGAAGAGGTGAAATGTTTGCTTGTGTTTTCTTAATTTGCAATGCATTCAGCTCAGGGCCACCGTGCGAAACAGCTGGCCTGCCTCTAACTGAAGGTAACACAATCCTCCTCCAAACACCTCTAAACCTTCCCCCATTGTCTCTTATTTTGTTAAAAGAAAACATTGGAAAACTAACATTTTGCAGTTCTACACTGAGTGGTGCGAAGAACACAGCTGGTCGCAGTACCTTTGTGGAGTCTAGTTGTTTGCCTGTTACACATCTTTATCCTAAACTAAGCTAACAGGCTGTTAGTTCCAGCTTCATGATGATTGGAAAGATGACTAGTATCTATGTTCTCAGCTAACTCTCATCAAGAAACCAATATTCAAGCAAATATTTACCAGTGAAAACGTAATGCAGAACAGGTAAAGAAATACCAATAGCACAAAAGAAGCTGTTTAATTATCATTGATGATCCACGATCACTTTCCCTTTTCAGCTTTCCATACTTACTCTTCTGCCATCCGTAGAGAAGAGTTTCAGCACTGGGAACAGCAGGCTCTGGGAGAGGTAGTCGAGTAAAGCATCGAATGTTGGTGCTGTTTTTCTCTGCAACACGATTGTGCGTTTAACATTGGGGTCCTTATTTTTGATGACCACAAGCCTCTTTGGTGTCCTTACGGTCACCCTCTTTGGGACAATGTTGGTGACAACATCATTTCTTCTTCTTAACGGACCAAGCCTGGATCCTTGTCGCCTTTTTCGCCCTGCGCTGGGGGGTCTGGTGGTATTCCATGGTACCTGCCGCCGGTTCACTTCTTCCAGGTTTATCGGCTTCACCCGTCTCTGGTCAGAACACACATACGATCCCCCGTCATGTAAGTCATCTAAAGTCTTAACCACAGTGGTCCCACGAGGTGTGGTGATGGTCCTCACTCCAAATGGCAGAGGCACTTTTTTTGACAGAGCGTCCAGGAGGGCATCAAATGACTTGAAGGTGCGGGCATTGATGACCATGCGATGCCCACTGAACTTATAGTCACCGCTTTTGTAGAAACATACTCTTTTAGAAGCTGAGGGGTCAGAGATTGGCTGCAGGGCTCTAAAGGGTAACGTCTGCCCACTGCCAGAGGATCTTTCCTGGGCAGATGTCTCCTGGGAAAAGGGCTCCTGGGAAGGTGGCTCCTGGGCAGGAGGCTCCTCAACAGGTGTGGCGCTCATATTGAGTGGGGATGGCTAGTAATTAAGATAAGGGAGAAAACAAATTAGTTTTTATGTGTGCTTTGTTCAATGCATGTACTATTATGCTATAGGTAGAGTAATGAGTTATAGAGTATTGGGAAGACTTTAGAGCTTGTCAGTAAAATGCAACCACTTGACTTAAAGGTCCCCTATTATACTGTTTTTCATCAATATATTCAGGTGATAAGGTGGGCGGGTGTTACCTTGGTTGGTTATTGGCTAATGGTTACACAAGCCACAAAAATCGTTATGACATCATAAAGTGGCCATAATCTGATCAGCTCATTTTCAGACAGGTTTTTATATAAATGGATCAGGACAAAAAGAGAGGGGGTCTTTTTTCCTGAAACTTTCAGAATCTCTTTACACAGAGGGGACACATGTTTATGTATAAAAGACATGAAAAAGTGGATTTTGCATAATAGGTGACCTTTAAAGATCGTCCAGTTTGTTACTCCATTTTCTTTCGGATTTTATTAAGTTAACGTGGTAAAAGGCCAGATTTTCATTTAAATTCAGCATTTTAAAAATAATCAATAAAGTAAATAAAAAATTTAAAAAAATGTAGTTGCTTATAAAATTAGAACTAGGAAAACCCCAAAACCCCTCAGCTAGAAGTAAAATATTATGACTATATGTTAAGATTCAGTTAATGAAGGGCTATCATCATCTCTGAATGGTAAACAGACAACTGTATTCAGCCTATATCTACTGTTTGTTTAGGAACAAAGTGAACTAGACACATGTGCATATGCTAAATAATTGCTGTCATACTGTGGTGTTTAAATGACATTTATAAATAGTATATACTATATAGTAAACTAAATAATAATTGCACAATGATATTTAAAGCTGCTATGCATACATGACATACAATTTTCTGTTACATTTATTTTTTATTTAACGTCTTTTGTAGTTTGTATTAATGCAATATTTGATTATTTTGGTTATTGACATTATAGTTGTATAATATCAATAGTTCTAAACATTGCACTATAACAAAGAACACAATTTGTACATTAAGAGATAACAGGGGTACAGAGCCTCTGTTGTTTATCATATATTTTCATAACTTGCATAATTAACAAAAAGAAAAAAATACTTACCATTGTATTAAATACTAAATAATGTTTCAATACAGGTCCTACATCAGTCATTTAAAAGTAATAATAACCCTTTGTTACTTTGAACCACAGAAGAAGTAACTAGATACAAACACAGATTTAGACGAAGGCCACACACAGGAAACATAGCAAGAAATCTGACCAAATACACCATGTAGATCTTTTTTTTTAAAACTAACTTGTAAACAAATATGTCAACAGAAATGTAATAGATAAGACTTACCATGTTTTTCACATTTCACCTATATTATAGTCGATAAAACAACAGCAAAGTGAGCACCCGTAATTCCTCTGAGCGCTCGGTGAAAGCCTCTCAGCGACGTTTGAGGGCTATTTTTGGACATGCAACATCATGACCAATTTGCCTAATCTTTGCTCACACTTTATCAGCATATCAAGATAACAAAGGAAGGAGTGATTTAACTTTTTTCAGTTTAACATTCAACCATAAATTGATGGTTATATTGTTAATATTGCATATTTTTCTCTTTTGTTATTTGCTCTGAAATAAGTGAGACAGTAACTGGGTGAAAAGGATTAGTGACCAACAGATGAATTAAAGAGAAGAGTATGGAGACAGTGAAAGTTAATAAATGTATATGACCTTTTGAGATAAAATGAAGTATCTAAACAGAAACCACGGGTGGCTAGGCCTGTTTCTAGTTAGCAAGTGGCCTGCATAATCAGATTTGAAAAGTCTTGCGCTAATAGGGATTAGGTTATAGAGTGTGCGCACTTACTGACAGCCCGAAGTAGAATAAGGTCTTAAGGAAGCACTTTTACCTCACAGCAGGTATTGGAAATCCACCATCAGACTTTTAAACAAATAAAGTATCAGTATTTGCACGTATGAAATACTCCGGTAAATCAGAATCAGAATACCTTTATTAGTGCCACAGAGGGGAAATGTACATTGTTACAGCAGAAAAGAGCCAAAGACAGCTTAATGTTACCTAAGAAGCATGCATAAAAAAGTATTAAAGATACAAAAATTATAAGAAAAAAGTTACACAATTAACAAAATACACATCCTGTAACAGTTCTGAGGATTTAGCATTTTAAATAAAATTGACCATCATTTTGAAGCTTTTTATCAAAACGTTGAAGGTTAACACTTCAAACTCTTTTATTCAGTGCCTAACGATATAATTGCATCATGTGGTGAGAGCTGTGTCGCTATACTAAAGTTACCAGACAGTGTCCCAATTACAAACTCTGACTGATTCAACAGCTGCTAATACCTCACACATGAAGAAGCTGGAGACTGGCTGTCGTGGTCATTGGAGGAAGGGCCTGTGGAGGTCAAATAGAGTCCAATATGAGGGGAAAGTTACACAACATTTTGTATTCAAAGTGTGGATGAGCATAAAATCAAAGCACCGTCAATACTTTTATCAATGTGTTACCATTAGCTCTTATAACTGATTCAATATCATGTTAATTTCAGGATAGTATTTTACCTTTTTTTAGTCTTTCAGTAAAGGTCGAATGTATATTTTATTTAATGTTATGAGCAGCACCTTGCATTGTTTTGCTTAGTTCAATAAATCAAATTATTTGGAGTGATTGCTCAACCTTCAATCACTAGGTGGTAATGTCACAGGCTGATCTGGTTGGATTACTAGGACCCAAATTAGCAATTCAATCAGTGCCATCTAATTGTGTAGTGGCCTAGCTGCTGCTGCTCAAAGGTCACAGGTTTGATCTAAACAGCCATGCCTTCATCAAAAGCTGTAGGTCCAACTAATGGCCGGTAGCAACACTAAAGCTTTCTCACTAGCTGTCAAGAACTCTATAACAACAACAACAACAACAAAGTACACTATCCAAACAAAACCCTATATCAGTGATTTCTTCTGTTTTTGGCTGTTAACTGAATGTTATGATCTGGTTAACCAAAAGGTGATATTTTCCCTCCTTTTTTTTTTAGAGGACTTGAAAGGTAATTTAAACTTGTAATTATCAAGAAATTGTGTGTTTTAATGGCAAATTTAACATCAGTCAGACAAAAGTTGAAAATGAAAACACGTTTCAGCTCTATGTAGTGACTATTTAAGCTCTTCACCTTATTAACTACTAATGTGAAAACATGAGAAGACCCAGGTAATTTTTCTGCGAACTTAAAAAGGTTTCCAGCAAGTTAGTTCATTCATTGTTAACTTTAGCCAAAACACAAGTGGCACGTTGGCGCCATCTACCGCCGGGTAGCGATACTGCCGAAATGCAGGCTTTGCATTGGTAGCTAGGACAGATGTTTGAGGAGAATTTGAGGAAATATACCAAGCCCCCAGGAAGTGCGCCGGACTCTGAGGAAAATATTCGTTGTGTCCAAACGGCTGTACTGCAACTTCCGTATCAGTCCGTGATGTCCCTGGGCCCGGAAATACTTTTTCCCATTGACTAACATTGGGAAAGAGTGGTCTGTAAATTGTTGGATTTCTTTTTTTTTAACCAAATAAACTACTCAGTATGAACATTTATTAAAAACATTTGGTCCTCAAGTTGTAAAATGTGCTAATAACGTTATTCTGAGAGTTATTTTCCTCGGCATTATGAACGCGCATCTGAGAGTGGGAGCTCGGGGGGCGGGGCTTAATGGGCCACTCAACTGCGCATGCTCTATGACCGTACAGCCAGGCATGATGGGTAATCTGTGAAGTTTCGCTCTCTCAAAAGTTGGGCCATTTTGTCCTCATGCGCCAATGAGCAGCTCTCATAGGAAAGGACTAGACCCCGCCTCCGACGCTGTGGCACATCTGGGTATTGATTAAAAACGTGTACCTTTGTCTAAATAATGCACTGAGAGGCAGTGGTGGAAAGTAGCTAGGTATATTTTACTGAAGTACGACTACTTAGGTACACTTTTTTTAGCTACCTTTATATGCAAGTAGGCTACCTAAAACCATGAGTGGGTTGACAGAAAATAAATTGGAGAAGTTTGTTCAAAAATGTTTCACAGTTCAAGAATAGAATAGAATATCTTTATTGTCATCACACATCAGTGTAACGAAATTCAGTTGGCATCTCTCACTGCAGTACATAAATAAGAACACATCCATAAAAGCAGTGATAAAGCAGAGGTAGCAGCAATAATCAGGTTCATCACTTAAATGCACTTTACCAGAATGTTCAAATACATTTTAAAAGACTATTTAATAAAGAAGCTCCTTAAATGTAAAGATTTGCTGCTTCTGCTTTAAAAAATGTTTTAAATATTTAAATATGTATTTCTGCAAAGACTACTTTCACTCCATAAGTACATTTCCCTTGTCGTATTTAAATACTTTTACTAGGAATTGAGTATTTTTACAGTGTAGTTTTAGTACTTTTACTCAAGTAAAGAATCTGAATACTTTTTCCACCACTGCAGAGCAGAGGTGGGAATAACAATGTACATTTACTCAAGTAGGCCTACTGTACTTAACTTTTGTACTTATACTTGACTAACCTTTTGAATGCAGGACTTTTACTTGGTAGGCTACCGTCTGTTATTTCTACTTTCACTTAAGTACAAGATCTGAGTACTTCTCCCACCTCTGAATAAACCAGAGACTGGAATAAACCCATCTGGGCTCTCACACAAGCTCTCACATGTGCCCACTGCCCTAAGGAATCTTGGGTTTCGTCTCGATTAACTGCCCCTGAACCCATCATGCATCGACTGCTCAGGTCTGCTGCGGTCCTGGTCCGTGAAGTAGACGCCGCCGCCGCTCTCACTTCTCTCGGCGTGTTCTTTGTCGGGAATTTTCAATCCCCATTTCTCCCGACTTTTGGATACAATCAGATCACTCAACATGGGTAAAAGGGAGGAAGAGGAGATCATCAGAATTGCGAAGAAAATGGATAAAATGGCGC